CTGGTCCCAAGGTCAACCTTCATCCCAATCATCTGGTCCCAAGGTCAACCTAACCTTATGCCCTGCAGATGGGTTGTTCAAGGTCCCATCACCGCAGACTTCAATGCAGAAGTGTCTAACCTTGACATCTGAATAACAGAATAACTAGAGTTGGAAGGGACCTTGGAGGACTTCTATCTAGTCCAACCCCATGCCCAAGCAGGAAACCCTATACCAATTCAGACAAATGATTGTCCAATCTTTTTTTGTTGTTGTTGTTCAAAATTTCCAGTGTCAAGAGTATCCACAACTTCTGGAGGCAAGCTGTTCCACTGATTAATTGTGTCAGGAAAATTCTCCTTGGTTCTCGGTTGGCTGGCTGGGGAATTGTGGGAGTTGAAGTCCACAAGTTTTAAAAGTTGCCAAGGTTGGACACTCCTAACTTTAATGGGAGTTGGTCCAAAACATCTTGGAAGCCAGAGGAGGAAACAGTTGAATTGCAAAGTTGGGTTACCAAGCTGAGTCCTCACAACCTCATAACCAAACATTATCCCTTTGGATTTTTTTTTTCTTTTGAAAGAAAGATCTTGGCTGATATTTCTTCCCCCATCACTTGGTTACTGGATCCTAGCATTGTCATGGCCACAGAGTTGCCAAGGAACCTTCCGCTACAGACAACATCTGCAGATTATTTACTGTACTAGGGGTGGGTCCTTTGGGAAGACTGCAGTTCCGTTATCCTTTTTGCAGGTCCTTTTGAACCCCATTCTTCCATCTACTCTCCCCTCAAAAAAATCAGGTTCCCTAGATCAGGGGTCTCGAACCTTGGCAATTTTAAGGCTCGTGGACTTCAACTCCCAGAATTCCTCAGCCAGCTTTGCTCCCCTTAAAAACACGAGCCTTAAAGTTGCCAAGATTTGAGACCCCTTATGTCATTTGAGAGTCTCTTGTTAGGCAGCGGGTATTTCCATGAGACCCTCTCCCGCAGACTCCCTTTCCTCTTCTTGATGAGTTTAAATTCCACCCAATCTTCTCCCAGAAATGTTTAGCAAAGTAGAAATCTGGAGACTGTTGTGGTGTTTTGTTTTTTGTTTTTGTCTTTCTTGAAAACTTCAGGTGCTTACCACCCATGGCAGAGCAGGAGAACTGGGACAGCTGGCCCAGGATTCTAAACGAAGGAAAAAAATGAAATGGCTGAAATCATATAAAATGGCCAGGATTGCAAGATTACAGGGATCTCGCCCCGAGGGAGACTTATGTAATCGTGTGTTACCTCGTTTGACATCTTGGCATCTTGCTTGAAATTTAAGATAAAATGGGTTACCGATTCGGACTCTGTAGCGAAATCCTTGTTGTGTTACGGAGGCACTAGCAAATCCTGGGGTGGAAACTACTCAAAAGAAGGGAAGTAGGGAGGAATATGGGATCTCTTTCGACTTTAGGGATATTAAACAAAGCCACTAAAGCAGCATGTCTCAAGTTTGGCCACTTTAAGATAGGTCAACTGGCTGGGGAATTCTGGGAGTTGAAGTCCAACCTATCTTAAAGTAGCCAAGGTTTAGAAACGCTGCACTATCGATTTCCATAGAAGCAAATTTGCAAGATCTTCCAAATTCCATAAAGGTAAAGGTTCCCCTCGCACATATGTGCTAGTCGTTCCCGACTCTAGGGGGCAGTGCTCATCTCTGTTTCAAAGCCAAAGAGCCAGCGCTGTCCGAAGATGTCTCCGTGGTCATGTGGCCGGCATGACTCAATGCCAAAGGCGCACGGAGCGCTGTTCCCTTCCCACCAAAGGTGGTCCCTATTTTTCTACTTGCATTTTTTTACGTGCTTTCAAACTGCTAGGTTGGCAGAAGCTGGGACAAGGAACAGGAGCTCACCCCGTTACGTGGCACTAGGGATTCGAACCGCTGAACTGCTGACCTTTCAATCAACAAGCTCAGCGTCTTAGCCACTGAGCCACCACGTCCCTATTTTTAAATACTAGAATGGGCCAAAATTCTAATCTTCCCAACACTGACAATAAAACAGACCAGATTTAGACCAAACTGGATGTTTGTAACTGAATTGGACCCCTTCCCTGCTCATGAAGGATTTCAGCACCATTCAGAGTCCAAATTACCTTGGTTTCTGAACATATAAGAATCTTTCTGGAGAAAAGGGATTTGACATTGTAGTTACTCTCTACACACCAAGGCTGATACTTGCATATAAAGAATACGGGTTCGTATTCGAAACACATGAAGAGGATACTACTTTCCCTCTCCTCAATTTGCGTCGAATAGCTCAACATTTGGCAGGCTGAAATTTGAAGGACATATTCGAACCCATTATTACAATCATAAACAATAGCCTTCTTAAAACTAACTTTTCCCAATCTGGAGGTTTTCAAGATTTCAACTTCCAGAATTCCCCAGCCAACGTCACTGAGAATTCTGGACATTAGTCCAGACATCTTCTGGAGCAGAACGTGGTGCCACCGAATCCAAGGAAGGTTCTTCTGGGACTTCCCTTGGGCTGCCCAACATCCATCAGCATTGGCCACGATGCCTGGACTGCTGGGACGTTGTAGCTCAGGAATATTTGCTGGGCCGCGGTTTTCCTGCTCCTGCTTTATAGACACTGGGGGAAACTACCCACTAGAAGAGAATATTTGTAGCTCAGGGGTGAACTGTGGAGTCTGAGCTTGGTTGTTTTCCTACAGATGTTTTATTACCCAACTAGGTAACATCATCAGTGGTAGAAGGGAGTAGAGTTTGCTCTTTGCTTATATACAAGTGATTTGCCCTCTCAGTGTTGGGGCGAGTGATCTTGGTAGTTCCTTGATTAGACTACTGTTTACCAGTGGTGAAATCCAAATTTTTTTACTACCGGTTCTGTGGGTATGGCTTGGTGGGCGTGGTGTGGCTTGGTGGGCGTGGCAGGGGAAGGATACTGCAAAATCTCCATTCCCACCCCACTCCAGGGGAAGGATACTGCAAAATTCCCATTCCCTTTCCACTCCAGGGGAAGGATACTGCCAAATCCCCATTCCCTCCCCACTCCTGGGGGAAGGATACTGCCAAATCCTCATTCCCACCCCACTCTGGGGCCAGCCAGAGGTGGCATTTGCCGGTTCTCCGAACTGCTCAAAATTTCCACTACCGGTTCTCCAGAACCTGTCAGAACCTGCTGGATTTCACCCCTGCTGTTTACTATTGGATTGTTTGTCCGAGTTGGTAGTTCCTAGCTCCTCCCAACAACCAACACCCCAAACCAGAAACTACCAACACAGATAATCAATCAAACGGTAAACAATATCTTAATCAAGGAACTACCAAGAACACTCTTACCAACACCGATAGGGCAAAGCCACTAAGATACAAGCAGAGAGCAAAACCACTCTCTTCTAGCACTGATGATGTCATTTACCTAGTTGGGTCATGAGAGTTGTCTGCAAGAAAACAACCAGGTTCAGAGAGCACCAAGGACCCCACCATTGGGAAACTTCTCTTCTTGCTAGTATACTATTCACACAGCCAAAGGTAGGTGTATTGGACCATTCAAAGATATTTGGACCGGCCCAGACAATCTAGTCCAGAGGCATGGGATGGTGGAAATCAGCATCTCCCATACCTTGTGAGCCCTCAGTGGCAGCACCAATCCCATCCAAATGCCCTTCCCCTTTTGCCCTCTGTGCCAGCAGACCTGAGTGCCCGCCTGGTCTTCCCGTTTGACCCTAGGAACAAAGGGAAAATTATCTTTTCCTGAGCGGTGAATGGCCGCACAACACACAGCTACTGTTGACCTGACGAACGTAGAGACACACAGATGCACGTGTACACACCCATACACACACACACACACACACACACACACGAGACACAGAAAACATTTGCTACATCAGTGGCACCAAATGCTTTCCTGTGAAAGCTCAGATATTCCCAGCTCAGCATTTTAAGCTTCCCCTGGATCAGCCTTTCTCCACTTCGGCAACTGTTAAGACGGGTGGATTTCAACTCCCAGAATTCCCCAGCCGGGGGACTTCTGGGAGTCGAAGTCCACCCGTTTTAACAGTTGCCGAAGTGGAGAAACACTGCTCAGGAGCCTGTGTCCATCAGAAACCAGGCTCTCTACCCTGCTGGGAAGAGGCGCGGATGATGGGAGGACATGGTCTGCCTTAGTCAGTGGACACTCTTCCCCCTCCTCAGAGGACCTCCTAAGAGGTCACCTTGAATTTGGAACGAGGAGCTAGACAAGGGCCAACAGCGTGCCAAGGTCCACCTAGGTGAGTCATCAGCCTCTCATGGGGAGAATACCTCCTAGCCCCATTTCACAGGCTGTAGGTCACAGGAGTCTCTCGTTCTTCTGAACCTCCTCAAGAACTTCTGAGGGAGCAAGACTCTCACGGAATCCAGCTTCATGTCCTCTCAGGGGGCTCCAACCAACTCAAAGGTCAAGCCACTGCCCAAGACATCCTTCAAGTACATAGGATGGGAACTCCCATGTTCCCCACACCAGCCGGCACAGCAGGGATGATGGGCATCAAGAGGTCCATACATCGAGAGGTTGGCAAGGCAACGCTCGTGGCTCTGCTTCGACTCTTTGGCAGGGGAGGGGGAGGAGCCCTATTTTCCCAATCAGAAAAGCTACTGCCCTATTCTACCCCTTCCCTACAAGTCCTTCCCTCTCCTCCCCTCCCCAAACTTCCCACCCACCCACCCCCCACCCCCAGCTACCCAACAGCCACTTCTGTTGCTGGATGAAAATGGGTGCTACGAGCTCACCAATTGTTCCAGTTCCCCCCCCCCACGACCCACCCACCCCCACCCCAGTCCTTTTTCTGCATCCCCCTCCCCCCTTCCTGATTTACACACACCATGCCTATTTCTACCGTGGCCTTAGCTGCCCAGCCACAAACCGTTTGCATCGTTCAAGTCATTGGATAAATCATCAATTTTTCCCCCCATCTCTCCTTGGTTTTCTATTGTATTGTTTGCTAGTTGTTCGGAGGGACAGAAATCCCAGTCAATCAGAGGATCTTTTGTGTGTGTGTGTGTGTTTTTTTTTAAAAAAGAGTCCTTCTACACACCGCCTATCTCAGGGCAGAAGAAGATACAGTGCTGATATCAGAATGCCGGCTTGGCGTATGTGCCATGTTCTCCTCAGACACAGATCTCAATGGCGGTTGCCAAAACCATCTGGCCTTTGGCCTTCTCTGCCCGGGCGTCAGTCCTGCTTCCTCCGCCGGGGGAAGGGAGGCCAGGCTCCGAAGCCGCCAGCCGAGAGACGCTGCCCTCCGTCAGGATGGTCCTCTTAAGTGGGGTTGGGGTACAGCCGCTGGGCGTCTCATGGCGGTGTGGGCCAGCTGAGAGCTTGTCCCCGGTGTGCTTGCGGGAACGATAGGATGGCCGTCGGCGCATCTCGGACATCAGATCGTACTTGATGAAGAGAAAAAGCTCCTTCACCGGGCAGCGTTTTTCTGGGTCGAGGGCCAACAAGCGTTGAAACATCCGCAGCGCGTTGTCCGTGAAGCGGCGCCACTGAGAGGGGACGCCCACCAGGCGCCCCTTTTGCCACCTCACAAACTCCTCAAAGAAAGAGTCCGAAGCAGTGGCCGCTTCCCAGGGGAAGTTGCCGGTCAGCACGCAAAAGATGAGCACCCCGAAAGCCCACACGTCGATGCTCGCATCCACCGTGAAACCCTCCGCCCGGCCTGCCTGGCACACCTCGGGCGCTGTGTACGGGATGGTGCCGCTGATGCGTTTCACCCGGCACCCCACCTTGCGCGTCATGCCAAAGTCGGCCAGCTTGACGCGCCGGCAGTCACGGTCAAACAGGAGGACGTTTTCCGGCTTGATGTCCCGGTGCACCAAGTTTTTGCTGTGCATGTAGTCCAGCGCCAGACCCAGCTGTTGTACGCAGCGCTTCACCATGTCCTCTGGCAGCCCCACCTGCAAGCAGACAGAGATGTCGAGAGGTGAATTTATATCTGGAAGCGCCCAAACCCAGGAACATCTCACGCTATACTGTAATAGTATAGTTTAATGACAAGAAGGACTATGGGAGACATAATAGCAGTCTTCCAATATCTCAGGGGCTGCCACAAAGATGAGGGAGTCAAGCTAGTCTCCAAAGCACCTGAGGGCTGGGCAAAAAGCAATGGGTGGAAACTCATCAAGGAGAGAAGCAACCTAGAACTAAGGAGAAATTTCCTGGCGGTTAGAACAATTAATCAGTGGAACAACTTCCCTCCAGAAGTTGTGGATGCTCCAACACTGGAAGTTTTTAAGAAGATGTTGGATAACCATTTGTCTGAAGTGTTGTAGGGTTTCCTGCCCAAGCAGGGGGTTGGACTAGAAGACCTCCAAGGTCCCTCTCAACTCTGTTATTCTATTTTAAGGTCCCTTCCAGCTCATTCCTATTCCTATTCCTATTCCTATTCCTATTCCTATTCCTATTCCTATTCCTATTCCTATTCCTATTCTATTCTATTCTATTCTATTCTATTCTATTCTATTCTATTCTATTCTATTCTATTCCATTCCATTCCATTCCATTCCATTCCATTCTATTGTACTCTACTCTACTCTACTCTACTCTACTCTGTTGTATTGTACTGTATTCTATTCTATTCTGACTGTCATTTCGGGGCTCAAGCACGGTTGTATTGCAAGGACTGCATATATAATTACTGAAATGAGTCATGCATTTATCTTTTGCTTATGTTAACAGCACAGCAGCCATGGGGCAGTGTTTAAAACCCTCAAGCTGGGGGTCACAACTGTGCGATCGAGGCCCCACCCTTTGCATGGTCATCAGCATTGGGTGTGTTTAGAAAAAGTTTTTAACCCCCGGGCCATGGACTGGTCCACGGCGCGCCAGAAAACTAGGTCATGCAAATGAGTGAAGCCCCATCCATGCACACGTGGGATGCAGGTAGTGCACAAAACCATGGCCCCTCCAGTTCATGGAAAAACCACTCTCCAGGGAACCAGTCCCAGGTGCTCAAAAAGTTGAGGGCCGCTGCTCTAAATGTTCAGAATATCACCTGCTATCGCATGCCTGTATATGTTCAGAGTGTTTAATGTCCTGTGATGGGAATAGACATTCTTCGGTACGAAAGGCAGTACAGTAGAATGCAAATGATTTTCATTGTAATGGAGCATCCTAACCCAGTCTTACCAATGGAAGAGGATATTTATAGCTCAGGGTCCTTGGTGCTCTCTGAGCTTGGTTGTTTCCTTGAAGGCCTTTCATTACCAAACTATTATTTCATTATTGGATTGTTTTTCTGAATTGGTATTTCCTAAAGGTTCCCCTCGCACATATGTGCTAGTCGTTCCCGACTCTAGGGGGCGGTGCTCATCTCCGTTTCCAAGCCAAAGAGCCAGCGCTGTCCAAAGATGTCTCCGTGGTCATCTGGCCGGCATGACTCAACGCCAAAGATGCACGGAATGCTGTTACCTTCCCACCAAAAGGTGGTCCCTATTTTTCTACTTGCATTTTTTTTTACCTGCTTTCGAACTGCTAGGTTGGCAGAAGCTGGGACAAGTCACAGGAGCTCACCCCAATATGCGGCACTAGGGATTTGAACCAGTGAATTGCTGACCTTTTGATCGACAAGCTCAGCCTCTTAGCCACTGAGCCACCACGTCCCATATTGGTATTTCCTAGTTCCTCCCAATAATCAAGCTCTAAAGAATCAAGAGTTACCTAGTTTGGCAATGAAAGGTCTGCTCACCAAGCTCAGAGAATTATCAAAGACCCCATTATCCAGTCTCCCAAGCTGACTTCCTTCTATGGCTTGCAAAAATCCCCAAACACATATAACAACAAACCACTGAATGGTGGTGGATGTCCCATGACACTGGTCCTCAGCCCCAGGGCAATAGGCAGGCATGGTTTTGGAAAGTAGCGATCATCCAGACCATCTGACCATCTTCTGGGCATGGATGATCGCTTGTTGCTTAAGAACTTTGCACAATGGTGCTGCAGGCCTTTGCCTCAAAACTCTCAGGGGATCTTTGCCATGGGGGTGGGGAGGAAAGACAAAAAGGAAATGGAGTCGAAATACATGTGATGATGATGAAGGCCTCGGCGATTCCATGGGCCAAATCTCACCACATCTTCCGATCAGTGGTGGGTTTCAAAATTTTTTACTACTGATTCTGTGGGTGTGGCTTGGTGGGTGTGGCATGGCTTTGTGGGCGTAGCTTTGTGGATGTGACAGAGGAAGAATACTGTAAAATCTCCATTCCCACCCCACTCCAGGGGAAGGATACTGCAAAATCCCCATTTCCTCCTGATCAGCTGGGAATTGGGAGGCAGAGAATAGATGGGGGGCAGAGCCAGTCAGAATTTTTACTACCGGTTCTCCAAACTACTCAAAATTTCCGCTACCGGTTCTCCAGAACTGGTCAGCACCTGCTGAAACCCACCTCTGCTTCCGATCTTGCACTACTTTCTATTCAAGTCATAAGGGCAATGGCTGTGTGAGGGATACATTAATCTTCCATTGCCCACCCTTGAAATCTTCCCCAGGGAAGATCAAAAGGAACATCTGTGTAGGGTATAAGAGGAAGCTGGAGGCCAGATGAGAAAATCACATTTGGTTCCCAGTCCAGATTGTTAGCATCATAATTGGATCAAGCTTCCATGAAACAGCTTCAGGAAACTGAGAGCCACGGTGGCGCAGTGGTTAGAGGGCAGTACTGCAGGCTATTTCTGCTGACTGCCGGCTGACTGCAATTTGCCAATTCGAATTTCACCAGCCTTAAGGTTGACTCAGCCTTCCTTCCGAGGCTGGTAAAACGAGGACCCAGATTGTTGGAGGGCAATAGGCTGACTCTGTAAACTGCTTAGAGAGGGCTGGAAAGCACTGTGAAGCGGTATATAAGTCTAAGTGCTATTGCTGATTAGCTGTGGTGGCGCGGTGGTTAGAATGCAGTATTGCAGACTAATTGTGCCGACTCCAGCAGTTCGATCTTGACCGGCTGAAGATTGACTCAGCCTTCCCTCCTTCTGAAGCCGGTAAAATGAGGACCCAGATGGTTGGGGAGGGGGGATTGGGCAAGAGGCTGACTCTGTAAACCTCTTAGAGAGGGCTGGAAAGCACCGTGAAGCGGTATATAAGTCTTAAGTGCTACTGCTATTGCCATAACACCCCATTTGTCCATCTTGGTATTGTCTATTGGAAGACATCTTGCCTCACCTTCCATTCAGGTCAAGAAGGGACAACCGAAGTCCACCTACCTGGGGAGGAATGATGTCAAAAAGGTCTCCTCCGGGTGCGTATTCCTGAGCAAAGACATAGCAGTCCTCCGTCTCGAAGACCACATCAAACACTTTGATGATGAAAGGGCTGGAAGAGAGAGTATTGGTGATGCTGAACTCCCTCAGGAAATTCTTCAGTTTGGTCTTGTTCTTGTTGACAAATTTCAGAGCCATCTTGGTGCCTGCGGATGGAGAAGACAGGGCAAGGAAGAGGATGGTGAGCAACTCCCTGTGTGATGGGAACCAAGGAAATAAAATCGTTCTGGAAATCACTGCCCAGGTAAGATGAAACTCCCCCAAAAATATGATCTTTAAACAGGACTTTGTACAGTTGGCCATCCCACAAGGAATGTGAGGGAGTCACCGCAGTGAGCGATCATGTCCCTTTTTCTCTCTTTTTTTGCCATTTTTAATCAATCGGAAGCGTGAATCGTGCCCAGGGAGAGTTCCCCTCCCCGGAACTCACCTGTGCTCTTATGGGAGACCAGGTCTACCTTCCCGTAGGTTCCCTTCCCCAGCTCACGGATGAGGTCGTAGTGCTTGTTGATGTCCGTGCCAGAAAGCGTGCGGATGGCCAGCGACTGCATGTCCTCCGTTATCAAGGGGACTCCACAACAGGCCAGCTTGCGTGACGGCTCTTGCTCAATGGAGGCAGCGCTCATGGTCATGCTGAAAAGGGAACGAGAGGGAGGTTTCGGTCATCCGTCATCGGAATCGGTTGGTTGCGGTCATTAACCAGCGCCAGGGAATTGGTGTTCCAATCTCCCAAACTAAATTGACAGTAGAGGAATCATTAGGAAAGATACATACAGAGAGAGAATGCTGGCTCAAAGACAGTATGCATTTTTTTAAAAAAATGCTAAGGTGCTCACACAGGCTTCATAGGTGAGACCAGAGAGAAGAGAGATTAAAAATCCGGTTAGAATAAACGCTAAAACAGCAACACAAAAATATATATACGCATAGATCAGTGGTGGAATTCAATTTGTTTTTACTACCGGTTCGGTGGGCATGGCTTGACGGGTGTGGTGTGGTTCAGTGGGTGTGGCTTGGTGGGCATGGCAGGGGAAGGATACTGCAAAATCTCCATTCCCACCCCACTCTGGAGCCAGCCAGAGGTGGTATTTGCTGGTTCTCCGAAATACTCAAAATTTCCGCTACCGGTTCTCCAGAACCTTTCAGAACCTGCTGGATTTCACCCCTGGCATAGATGGATGGATACTAGATAGATAGATAGATAGATAGATAGATAGATAGATAGATAGATAGATAGATAGATAGATAGATATAAGATAGGTAGGTAGGTAGATAAATAGATAGATAGATAGATACAAGAGAGATCCATAGATAGATAGATAGATAGATAGATAGATAGATAGATAGATAGATGGATGGATGGATGGATGGATGGATGGATGGATGGATAGATAGATAGATACAAGAGAGATCCATAGATAGATAGATAGATAGATAGATAGATAGATAGATAGATAGATAGATGGATGGATGGATGGATGGATGGATGGATGGATGGATGGATGGATGGATAGATAGATACAAGAGAGATCCATAGATAGAAAGATACGAGAGCCATAGATAGATGGATGGATAGATAGGTAGGTAGATAGATAGATAGATAGATAGATAGATAGATAGATAGATAGATAGATAGGGAGAGCCATAGATAGATAGATAGATAGATAGATAGATAGATAGATAGATAGATAGATAGATAGATAGATGGATGGATGGATGATGGATGGATGGATGGATGGATGGATGGATGATAGAGATAGATACAAGAGAGATCCATAGATAGATAGATAGATAGATAGATAGATAGGAGAGCCATAGATAGATAGATAGATGGATGGATGGATGGATGGATGGATGGATGGATGGATGGATAGATAGATAGATACAAGAGAGATCCGTAGATAGATAGATAGATAGATAGATAGATAGATAGATAGATAGGAGAGCCATAGATAGATAGATAGATAGATAGATAGATAGATAGATAGATAGATAGATGGATGGATGGATGGATGGATGGATGGATGGATGGATGGATGGATAGATAGATACAAGAGAGATCCATAGATAGATAGATAGATTGATAGATAGATAGATAGATAGGAGAGCCATAGATAGATAGATAGATAGATAGATAGATAGATAGATAGATAGATAGATAGATAGATAGATAGATAGATAGATAGATGGATGGATGGATGGATGGATGGATGGATGGATGGATGGATGGATGGATGATGGATGGATGGATGGATAGATAGATAGATACAAGAGAGATCCATAGATAGATAGATAGATAGATAGATAGATAGATAGATAGATAGATAGGAGAGCCATAGATAGATAGATAGATGGATGGATGGATGGATGGATGGATGGATGGATGGATGGATGGATAGATAGATAGATACAAGAGAGATCCGTAGATAGATAGATAGATAGATAGATAGATAGATAGATAGATAGGAGAGCCATAGATAGATAGATAGATAGATAGATAGATAGATAGATAGATAGATAGATAGATGGATGGATGGATGGATGGATGGATGGATGGATGGATAGATAGATAGATACAAGAGAGATCCATAGATAGATAGATAGATAGATAGATAGATAGATAGATAGATAGATAGGTAGGTAGGTAGATAGGAGAGCCATAGATAGATAGATAGATAGATAGATAGATAGATAGATAGATAGATAGATAGATGGATGGATGGATGGATGGATGGATGGATGGATGGATGGATGGATGGATAGATAGATACAAGAGAGATCCATAGATAGAAAGATACGAGAGCCATAGATAGATGATGGATAGATAGGTAGGTAGATAGATAGATAATAGATAGATAGATAGATAGATAGATAGATAGATAGATAGATAGATAACTTCTGTTTCTCTATCACTGGTTGTGTGTGTGTGTGTGTGTGTAAGAAAGAGAATGCTTATCAGAAGCACATTTCTGTAGAAATACACAGCAATTGATTGTTGTGTTTTATTTTATTTGCAAAGGGAAGTCAGTAAGCAAAGCTGTAAGGGTTGGAAACGTATTAAGTAAAAACTCATTAAGTGAAAAAGTAGCCGTTGGAAACTTATCAAGGAGAGTTGCAACCTAGAATTAAGGAGGGATTCCCTTTCAGTGAGAACTATTAACGGCTTATCTCCGAAAGCTGTGCATGCCCCATCACATGGTTTTTAAGAAGAGACTGGACAGCCATTTGTCCAAAAAAGTGCAGGGGGTTGGACTAGATGACCTCCAAGGTCCCTTCCCACTCTGTTATACTCTTACTGTTGCTTCTACTATTAAGAGGGATCGAGGAAGTGATAGTAAAACCCTACCTTATTAAAATAATGCCCTGTGTTTTCTGCCCAAAGGAAGGAAATCCCCTATATTTTCACCCAAACTTAACGTATCTGTATTTTTATACACGAAGAGGCTACTGGCTTGAAAGACCAGCCCTTGGAAACTAGCAATTCATGGTTGCATAGAATCCCAACAAGGATAATTGAAGGTGATCCCTGCTCCCCTATTTCACCTCAACTGGAAATCAACAGAACGGAAAGCAGATCCCAGACACACCCCTGATTTCATAGGAATCCAGCAAGATATTGGCTGAGTTCACACAAAATCCTAAATCCAGGTTGTCAAAGCACAGTCCCTATATTTATATATCACAAACAAATAAAGCATAGGATGGTTTTATTCACTCAGGATGCTAAGACAATAGATGGGTTTCCTTGATATGATGATGATGATGACGATCATCATCATCATTGTCCCCACAATCCCTTGTGGGGTGGAGTCTGGGCAACTGAATGGAGCTGAGTGTTTACTGGCCGGATGCCCTTCCTGTCGCCAATGTGGAGCTTTGTTCAGCAGATATATTCTCATCGTGCCCAGAGAGGGAAATATCTGCCTCTACCTAGGATCGAACTCACAGCCTCCTGATTGCGAGGCGAGAGCTCCACCTCTAAGCCACCGCACCACTCTCCATGTTGATGATGATATTGATATCCTTTCAGTTGCGTCCATCTCTTGGCCATTCTATGGGACAGGTCTCTCCACGTATTCTGATTTTGCACTACTTCATTGAGTTGTTCTATGCTCCGGCTGTTGTCAGCTTTGATGGTGTCCACCCATCATGTTCTTTGGCAGCCTGGTCAGAGGTGGTATTCAGCCGGTTCACACCGGTTCGGGTGAACCGGTAGTGGTGATTGTGGGTGGGCTCGCCCCAGCTCCAAGTTGTGCTATTTAGGCATGTTTTCAAGGCCAAGTGCACAGAAGGCACGTAAGCAAGCAAAGGGCATGTGTGAAAGGCGGGGCGCATGAACAGACAGCGCATGTGGGGCAAACTGGTGGTAAAGGTAAGTGAAACCCACCCCTGAACCTGGTTCCCTTTTACCGCTAACTGTTCCCAACACAATTGCTTTCTTCAGTAAATTCCCCCACATGAGATGGCCAAAAATAAGTGGGACGCAGTTTTGTGATTTTGCCTTCTACTAACATGCCTGGGACATGTCTCCCTTGACACACACTAAGCCATAAAGCCCTCCTCCATTTTAGCTAGTCTAGAGTCTTCTGTCAACCTAGCCTTCAAGTTCCATGGGAAATAAAATTTCCCTTTCCAAAGCACCCGAAGGCCAGACAAGGAATAATGGATGGAAACTGATCAAGGAGAAATTTGACGTAGAAATAAGGAGAGATTTTCTGACATTGGTTGAGAACAATCAACCAATGGAAGAGAAGTTGCCTTCGGAGGTTGTGGGAGCTTCATCACTGGAGGCTTTCAAGAAGAGATTGGGCTGCCATCTGTCAGAAATGGTGTAGGGTCTCCCGCTTGGGCGGGAGGTTGGACTAAATGACCTGCAAGTTCTCTTCCAACTCCGTTAATCTGTTAAAATCCCAAGGGCCGCCTGAACACTTCCCTTTATAGGATCAAGTGGAGAAGCCACATCCATCTCTTTGCTCTAAATATGTCAGCCTCTGCTTCCGTAGCTCCTGCATGAAACCGTTCTGAGGTCACTTGGACTACCACTTGATCTGTCCTGGTTTAGCCCTGACTGCTAGTCCCCATATTTTCCTTTCCAATGACAGGAGAGTACTTACTACGAGTGAGAGTAAGCCTAATTTAACAAGTCGTGGATTTTTATCAGATTTATTATGTTTCTCCCTGTGTAAGAGGAACAGCAGTAACACACTGCTCAGGATGATTCTTTTAGACTACTTGAGTCCCACCTTTGCACTTAGCCAAAACTTATTTTAAGCATGACAAAATAGAATAGAGTAGAGTAGAGTAGAGTAGAGTAGAGCAGAGCAGAGCAGAGCAGGGTAGGGTAGGGTAGGGTAGGGTAGGGTAGCGAATACAGTAGGGAATAGAGTAGAGTAGAGTAGAGTAGAGTAGAGTAGAGTAGAGTAGAGTAGAGTAGAGTAGAAGAGTAGGGAGTAGAATAGGGAATAGAATAGAATAGAATAGAATAGAATAGAATAGAATAGAATAGAATAGAATAAATAGAATAGAATAGAATAGAATAGAATAGAATAGAATAGAATAGAAGATTAAAAAACAGAGATTAGGAGAAACGTTGCAATCTGATTCAGATATTCATCTTTCCAGATTCTTTCATT